AATTAAACGTAGGTTATGTTCGACCTTGTTCGAACTAACACCTACCGGCCCTCGGCCATAGTTATGTTCGACCTTGTTCGAACGAACACCTACTGGCCCTCGGCCATAGTTAAACATAGGTTATGTTCGACATTGTTCGAACTAACACCTATTGGACCTCGACCATAGTTAAACATACGTCATGTTCGACCTTGTTTGAACTAACACCTACTGATCCTCATCGATAATTAAACTTAGGATATGTTCGACCTTATTCGAACTAAGTGATTACGGCTAGAAAATCAAGGCAACTAAGCGACGAAATCAACAAAAAAATACAAGCACGAACCACAAGAAGAAAATCAGATGCAAATGACAAAGTTGGCATTTCATACTTAGAACATTTTTACAAAAGCTCATGAAGACACCACCAACTACACACAAAGATATACAAAAAAGACAAAAAAGAAAACTACTGGCCACCACCTTCATCGCGTGCAGCATCCTCGCTGACCTGGCCCTCAACTATGTCACCCTCTCGACCTTCAACACCCTCGCCATCGCCGCCTTCGCCCTCAAGATATGCAGCATCATACCAGGAATTTTGCTCAAGCCGATCTACATCTTCGTCCCCCTCGCCCTCGCCGGCTTCTGGCGTAGCAGGGTCATACCCGTAAGTGACTCGAGCTTCACGAGCCTTGACACGAGCATCTTCAAGGGCGGCCCCAGAAACAGATCCCGCCGCATGTAAATCTCGGAACACGTCTAGCTGGGCCTCGACATGAATCCACTGCTCGTACAACTCTCGAGGAACATTAGGAAAGTATGAGGTATGGGAAGAAGACGGTTGAGCCAGTAATTGGGCCTTCTCGGCCTCAAGGGCAGCAACTCGGTCATAAAGATCAGAAGTTTCTTTTTCCAACTCTCCGACCCTCTCATCAAGTCGCTCTTCTTTTAGCCTTGCCATTTCTAAGTCATTCTCTCGCTCAAAATGAAGAGTCCGGATCACCATCTCAAGGGCCTCCGTTTTCCTCGAAGCCTCTGACCGAGCGGACTCCGCCTATCCAGCTCGTTCTGTTTCCCGGTGATCTCTCCATGAAGAACCTCCATCTGCAAGCGACACTCCTCTAATTGCCTGCGCAACTCGACCACCTTCATCTGGAGGTCGCCACATTGGACCTCCACGACCCTGCTGACCTCGAGCTCTTCTTCCTTATTTCTCAAGTCCCCTCAAGGACGCTGCACTTATCGATGACCTTCACCAGCTCGTCATCCTTTTTGCTTCAGCTAGTCTTGAAAGGCCTGCAAATTGCCGTCCTCGCCAAACCGCCTGCGGATCTCCCGACACTTTCCGTAGTACTCGAAGTATTTGCGTTGCAGCTTCTTGAATATAGATTTACACCTCTCCTCCCTTCCGGCGCTTTCAATTTCTAAGATCATGGTATGTAGTCACAAAAAGAAAGAGAATCAAAAATAAGAATGCCTATGCCAACAAGAGCAAAGCACTAAAACAAAGCCCAAAACTTTGAATATAACAGACATGGAAATAGAAGCCTTGAGAAATTTACCCTGAGAGCGAGGTCGGCTATGCTTCTTGATAAGGTAATGTCATCCAGCACCTTGAGGGTTTCACCCTCCACGTCGGAGCAAAGGGGGCCAAGGACAAAGACCATGTTCTCTGTGTTCTTCAACATATCGCGATCCATAAGGATCGCGATAGTCCGCATAGACCCCTCCAACCTCACCTCGAGCTGAGTAAAACCTTCTTCTATCATCCTTAGCTCTGTAGCGTTGAGGTCTGAGCCCGTCTCATAACCATCCTCGGCAATACCTTAGCCTCTCTCATAGACTGGCGAAGAAGTACCGCCAGATGGCCGCGAGGTTGATGGCCCCTCTTGTCGTGAAATATCAGACACCCTGGCAGCCGGCCCTTCGACTTCCATCGTCGCAGAAGGAAGCGATACACTCCCTACGTCTCCCGCCGATCTCGGAACCTCGGACGCCAACTCGAAGTCGCTTTCAAGAATTATGGTCGCCGTCTTACGGAAAGTAAAATCATTCATCACAGAATCTACGGCTCCGGTGGCCCCATCGCCAACGTCCACTGACCTCTTATTACGGGGCACCAAATCCCCGTCACTTGGCGATGATTCCTCCCCCTCGTCTACGAGATGATACAAAGGGGAATCTGGAAGCCCCACCGTCAAAATATCCAATGTTGGAGAAGAGATAGATGCTGAAGTAGCGGTAAATAGAATCGAAGAGCGAACAGACCTTGCCCCAATTGTAGACTGAGCAGAAGCTAAAGGACGAGCAGATCTTACCGCGATTATAGAGGGGGCAGACGCCGAAGAAGAGGCATTTTTCCTCTTACGGAATACAGGCGGGGGAGCTCTCGGCTTCCTCGAAGTCCACGGGCTGAAATTAAAAGAAACGCAAAAGAAAATAGGGTCAGCCAATGCAAACTATAAAATGGTAAATGACTAAGAGGCCAAAACGAAGAGACTGACCGGCTAAGGAAGGAGAAGACCCAAACTTCCTAAAAAAGCCCGGCCACTCACGAATTCCTGCGATGTAAGGGAAGAGCTGGCTGACCCAATCAGAAATGTCCTCGATCAAAGGAAGGGGCATAGTCTTGGTTGCATAAGAGATAAGCAAAAGATCATCACTCATGACCAAGCAAGTAAATCAAACGCCTCGACAAAGAGAAGTTAGATACTTACGAGTATAATTCTAAGTCTCGAGAAAACCGTCTACGTTGGCCACCACGTCCTCGGTTCTGACGAAGAAAAAATTGTGCCAGAACTTCCGGCTCGCCTTATCATCCATCTTTACCACCAGGCACTTTCCCCCCCGACGGCGAAAGTTTAACATTGTCCTTCTATAGAAACTAGGGACGAAGAGATGCATCAAATGTCGAATGGTGAATCTCGACCCCGGGCAATTCTGCGAACTTAGTAAACAACCTAATGGGCTTGAATATATATGGCGCAAGCTGAGCCGGGCAAACACCATAGAAACAGCAGAACTCCTCCGCCAAGGGAGGAAGGGGAAAGGTATAGCCACCATGAAAGGGTTAGGCGTAGAACGCACAATACCCAGAGCGGTGGACTTGTACCATGTCCTGTCATGCAGGGACCAGCTAGATGTGAGCGGGAATGTCATATTTAGCCCTAAGCTCTAATAAATCGGCCTCTTTTATCGCCGACTCAGATATCTCGGGCTCAGCCTTAGGCGCCTTTGTAAAGTCAGACTTGACTTTATCACCACAAGGAATTATCTCCTCCACCGTGGGAAAGTTCTCATCCTCCACGGCCACAGAGATGCCCTCTGCGTGAGGAGGCAAGACCATCGCTAGGGGAACTGGGTCATTTCCCTCACTGGGACTAGAAGATACTTTAACCATAGTTCTGAAGAAATAGAGGGTATTCGAATAACGAAAAGTTAAACGCTAAGAGGATCTCTAGAGCAGGAAAGGAAGATACGTAACAATGGAATAAGAAGAAAGAGACATAAGGTTTCGATATGGGAAATTTGTAAAACACGAGTGTGTGCCCTCACATCCCTATTTATAAGAATTCGGGCATCGAAACCAAGAAATAATGCCATCATTACCTAGCACATATATCGAAGCGGTAGATCCAATCAACATATGCATGCGAAACGATGCAAAGTATCGGGAAAATTTACCATAATGACGCATGATGTCATGACGTCACTTTGATCCGGAAACGACGCAACTCCAAAAGTTGTGGCTCACGAAAGGCCATGTCGCCATCTCGTCCAATCTTCTAGGCCACGACAAACAGAATCTGCTCATCAAGACCATCTGAGGCCGGCCTCAATAGGCGGAGGGACTAACTGTATAAGTCAAAATCTGCACTAAAATATTTAGGGCAATATAGCACTAAGGAATGGGTCAGTTGAGGTCGACAAGAAAATAGCGAGGTTTGTGGTCGAGATGATAACAGCGGGCGAGATCGAGCACCATTAGAAGAGTTGTAACAGCTAATTTTCAAAATGGGATATTAAAGAGAATATTCTAGCTGATATTCTCTTCAATTGTACTATTATGGTGTGTTAGGGGTATGTCTCATATATATATAGAAAAAGAGATAGTGATGTACGACATGTGACATTCATTTGATAAGAACATACTTTTGAGAAAAGATTCTCTCTCTTTTATAAAGATACAAACAATACATTTTCATCAAAATTCTTGTTCATATTATTTCACTCTTTTTATCAGATTCGAGAATAATTCGAATATTCTAGGATTTGTCTGTCACTCATCATTGTCAGGAGGGATAATCATCTAGTTCATCCTTTATTGGGTGATCCACTTATCCTATTTACTTAAATGTCATTTAATGTTATTTATTGTTAGTTTTTCCTCCATTATTGCTCACACTTTTTAGAACAATTAATGTATGTTGTAGTCAACCACTACCGGATATGTCTAATATTATTCACGTTTTCAGAACTCACATCTAGAGATATTATTTTTAACTAAGTTTAACCCATTATTATATAAACTCAACTATTTTAGCCAAAAATTATATTTTTTGATCAAACAGTTTCAAACTCAAACTATTGCATATTAAAAGGGAACCAATTAATTTCCTTTGAAAGTACATGATCCCGCAAATATAGTGCATATTAGGACTCTTCGTTATTGAATTATTAACGTCATATTAGATGTGATACAGTAAACATATATATATNAGAGGGAAAAAGTGTATCTAAAGTGATAAAGTTTAATAATTATGTTGCTCTCCTTGTGTTTAACTACCATCTTATTTGTCAATTTCGAAATCATTTGACCCCAAATGTTATGGTATGTATAAGACTACAAGTTTCAAACGTCTCGTAACCACACAAATATTATGTCATGTTTAGATTAAATATCTCGAAAGTTTTTTTATTTTTAAAATTTTCTATCAAGTCAAATTAGATCACATTAATTAAAATGGAAGGAGCAGTGATTTTATTTATTATTTTCATAGGATCACTATTGAAACTACAGGAAAATGAGAATTTATAGCAGTCTTTCTTGTCCCAACAAAATTACAATCTCCAGAACTTCAAAATTGAAAATCCAAATAAAAAGCAGGATTTTGAGAAAAGAAAAAAAACAAATATATATTTAAAAAAAAAAAAGGAAGAGAAGACTCTGTTTTGAGCTCAGTGGCTGCTCTCTCCATTACTATGTTGTAATTCTTCATCTCTTTGGTCCCTAACTTCCATTGTAATTACTTGTTCTTTCAGCTTCTCAGCATCTAATTCTTCACTCTCATTTTCCAATTTCTTCTCACATTTATTCCCAAACGAAGAACCTTTGCTTGACATATATATAGGCGTCGCCAAAAAAGTTGGGTTCAAATCACCCGCCATTATCACTACTATTTTCACTTCAAAAACCGGCATGACCTTTAAGTTATCGCCGGCAGATTTCTCGCCGGCGCCGGCTTCGATATCACTTTGAGACTGATCATCACCGGAGCGTTTCCGGTAAGAGCAAGCTAAGATTACAAGAGCAAAAGCTATTAACCCTAGCATAGCTGCTACGCCGGCAAAGAGATACGGCGCCGGAGAATGCCACGGCGATCTCTGAAAACTCGCCGGCGGTGAAAATATAGTTTTTAGGGTTGGTTCGGTTAGTTCCGTTGTTGATGGAGCAGCAATAAAGGTACTCACAGTTCGCATTTTCTTTGTTTTTTTTAAGAACTGATTTGCGTTTTCCTTTTTTGCTTAGCTTGAGAAGTGTAGAGAAGCATATGAATATTTATAAGAAGGTTTGCAAGATATATTAGTAAATTTAATGGGGGATCAAACAATTATTTAAAGAGAAAATAAAAGGTTCTAGTATAGTACTCGTCACAAATTTTTAAGAAAGGGGAATAAGCAATCTTTTACTACGTATAATCTTTCTCTTTAATGTAGAATATGATTACCTCATTTTCTATGAATGGAATAACTGTTTACAAAGAAAAAGAGCATTGTCTAGAGAGATGTCAAATTATACTATAGCTATAGCATAAGATAGGAACAAAGACATCTTGTAACGGAAAGTCAGTGGCGGATTCAGGCCGTGAGTGCTCATTTTCTTTAATATAAAATTACTATCAATCATATAGTATAAGTGTACAACTATACAACGTAACAGAAAAAAAAAATTAATAAGAAAATGATGATTAATATTATCATTATAAAAAAATACTTCTAGTCACAAGTCAAGTATGAATCAAACTCGCGCCTCTAGCTTCGGGCACACCTTTACTTTAAGCTCAATACCATAACACCCATTAGTCTTTTTTGTTCCTGAGTGCTTGCTAGTATATTATATCCGTTTCTTATATTTTTTATATAATTACACACAGTTTATGTTGAGGTCAATGGGTGCTAAAGCACCTTAAATTAGCACATAGATCCACCATTGCGGAAGGCAGACTAATAATGACAGATTAAGAAGAAGGACTAACAAGACTTTTAGGCTCGCTAATTTTTAGAAAGGAATCGATAACGGCATATGAAGTTTTAGGCGAATTCCACATAAAAAGAAAAGATTAAAAATAAAATATGTCCATATAATATACGTGCTTTTAAGTTCGATGTAATGTAATTCAATGGATAAATATCTGTTAGAGCAAAGAGAACAATACAGTCACATCTCCACATTGTGATTTGTGAAGTAGGGGTTGTGGGTCATCTTGAATGCTATTCTTTCTCTCAAATGTCAATATGTCACTGATTTGGCCATATAAAGGTAAACATGGGAAAGCCATGAGGGAACTCTGATCCTATCTGTTTCCATCTGGACACTCAACTTTAATCATATTCTTAGTTTGTATTCCTATTTCCCACAAGGAATATGTCTCTATCATGATAATGAAAAAAATGGTTAAAATAGCACGGGCTAGCCATTTTTTGGACTAATAATCGAAAACTAGCCAGCATTTGTGAAGTCATTGAAAATGGCCACTGTTTTGCTGAAACACGAAAAATTTCAACATAATATGCGGGATTATGGAGCTCATGCGTATAAAAACTTTTAGCATATTATGTTGGAGCTCCAGGACACGGAAAGTTCCAGTATAATATGCAAGATTATGAAGCTCTTGCATATAAACTTCCAGCATATTATGATGGAACTCCATCACATTATAAAATTTCAGCATATTATGCTGGAAACTCATATGTCATATGTAAAAAATTCGGATTCCAGCATATTATGCTAGAATATTTTCGAATTTTTAATAGTGTTTTTGCTCAAATTTTATCTTTACATGAAAAATGGCTAAATATCGATTGCTTTAGAAACTGTTGCTAATTTTCAATTACCATTTGTAAATCTAGCTATTTTTGAATTTCACCCAAAAAAAAATAATGGTTCTTTGATTGGGCCCCAGTGTGGGCCTAAAATTGGGCTCAGGTGCAAACAGCTAAGTCCACATCTAAGCTACAGTAAAAACGCACTCTGATTTTCTCTTTTTCAATCATTAAGCAAACAAGTGAATAAACTATAGGATTGGTGGGTAAAGCAACAGCAAAAATAAATATCAGATCGTATTTGTTTTGTATTAGGATTTTATTCTATTCTAATTCATACATATCCATAGGTTGCAATATTTGAAATTTATTACTCAAAGCACTATTACTATGAATCTCATGACAGAAAAAGTCACAAACATTTTGAGTCTGAAGTTTTAAAAATAACAAAGATATACCTTCAATTTAATATTAGGCCAATTCTACGTGAAATGAAATATACATTTATTTGCGTAAGATGCCTTTTAATGCATTGGTGGAAGAATATTAGGATTGTATAAAGAATAGACTATGGTTCGCCGTTATCTGTTTTTAATAAAGTTCTTTAAATAACAGTAATACATTTTTTGTTGTAGAGCGCATTTACCTTTTGCCTCGTTCTTTATTATCGGTTCCGCATGCCAAAAGGACAAAAGAGGGCTATCCCATCATTAAAGTTGTTGCAAGTGGAAACAATGGTTCAATCACTAGCACAAAATAAAACCTAAAGAGGAACAAGATAGTGTATTCGAGTATATCACTTTATAATTATCTTAATGTTAGAATACATGGAGTTGTGTGCATTTTTGCACACTCAATATAAACTACCTTTGAATATATACGTTAAGGGTGGCAAGTGGGCCGGATCGGGTTCGGGATCGGCCCAGACCCACGGACTAAGTGGGCTAAACGGATTGGGACCGTTAGGCTGCTAGAGGTGGGCTCGAACTGGTCTTGTGGGCCGGTTCTTAGCTAGGAACCGTTAGGATCGGGCCCGTTTGGCCCGCCAAGAGACCAGGACCGGGAGCAGACCGGTCCCTTGGCAGGCCAAACGGGCCCAACTGATATTTTTTTTTTAAAAAAGAGCCGTTTGGCTTTTGAAAAAAAGAGCTGTTGGGGTTTAAAAAATAATCGTTGACTATTTTAAAAATAGCCATTTAACCCCCAAACTTAGTTTTATCCCCAAACATTTTATTATTATACTTTTTCCCTATTTTTTACTATAAATACCCCCTCATTCTTTCATTTTCTTACAAAATCAATATCAATCTATCAAAATCTCTCTCTAATTTTCTTCTATACTTGCTACAATTGTTTACTTTATAAAAATAATAGTGAAAAAATTGTGAGGTTGCTACTATTACTTACTTTATTCCAAAAAATAGTCAAAAAAAATTAAAGTTACAATTTGTGAAAAAATTGTGAAGTTGGTGAATTGTAGTCTTCAAGTGTTCAACGATAATCAATTTTCAACAAGTTGTTCGTCAATTCAAAACGATAATCAATTTTCTATTTAATTTTTTTTAAAAAATACTGCTTAGCCGTTGGGCCCATTTATCCCGTTAGGACCGCGGGCCCGGCTCGTTTAGCCCGGGACCATGAGTTAACTTTTTTTTCCCCATAATTTGACAAATGACGTATTTAAATGTTTTACAAAATCATAAAGGAAAATTTTCACTTTGATGTACAAAAATAGAAATTTAACACATTTTAAGGCATTTACTCACAACTCACAAGGCGTTCTCTTCCGCCTAAGGGTGACATATGGGCCGGGCCTGGTCCTAAGTGGGCTTCGTGGGCCCGGTCCTAAGTGGTTCCGGGCTTCGCGAGCTTCTTGTTGGAATTGGACCGGGACCACGAACTAACGGTCCCGAGCCTAAGTGGGCCCAACAGATACTTTCTATTTTTTAATTTTTTTTTATAGAAGTTAGAGAAAAAAAATGGTAATAAAAATAT